CTCTTGTATACTCTGTTCAGACAAGTTTGTGGGATCTGGTAGCCCAGGCCAGCGCTGCAAGCCTTCGGTTGAGATTTCCGGCCCACACAGCAGCAAAGACCATGCCAGGGAAGAGGGTTAAGGTTGAGACCCCGAGCCCCGAGAAGGCTGCGCCCCGCCGGGCCTCAAAGACCCCAAAGTCCCAAGTGGATGCAAGCCCAGAGACTCCTCGCACAAACCTGGAGCAGCGTCTGGAAGAGGACACCGGTGTGTCAGAGACTGACTAGCATAAACCTGTCCTTTCTTCATGTAGAACGTAGACATGCAGAGTGTCAGCGCAGGAAAACCGAAAGCTCCAGGCCGAGCTCAGCAGGATGAAGTCAAGTGGGAGCCTTGCTCCATCGGAGGACAACCTCAAGACCCCACCGCCGAAAAGGCCAAACTCCAGCCCGCCCGGAACGGGAGCGCCGACGCCCAGCCCCAGCAGCGAACCCAAGCGAAGCCCCCCAACAACGGCCGGCAATCGCAAAGACAAGGTCCTGACAGCTGATGAGATCTCCAATATGTCCGAGGCTGCCCAAAAGTAGTTGGAATTTAACCACCTACAGTGTTGCCAATCGATGCCAGGCATCCAAGGAAATGCGACTTCGTCGGATGTGTGAAAGGAAGCCCTCTGGCCGTTTAAATGTACCGGAGGCAGTGCACAAGATGTGGGCTGCCGGCGGTACACAGAAGAGCCAGCTGTTGGAACAGCTGGTGAGTGCAGGGTTCAACAAGGACAGCCCGCAGCCCGATGTGTCCCCCTGCTCCTACACTGCATGCTTATATATATATATATATATATATATTTGTATATAGTACTACCTCATCCCAAGTAATCCCACGGTGCCTGCAGGAGATCTTTCTGGGCAAGGTGACTCGGAGCCGGACGGTCACCAACACCTTGCGCTCAAAGGTGCGAACAGGTTGGTTTACCATCGAGGGTATGAAGACCAAACACAAATGGAGTAAGACAGGCACTCAGTTAATGATCTAGCTGTGCTTGTTGCGCCATGCAAGGACTGTCGTTTCCTACGTGGCTAGATAGATACACTCGAGGACATACATTGCGGGTGTTGTGAAGTTCTGCTCGCGACCGGAGAACAAGCATTTGGTGAAGTGCCCTGGATTCACGACCCAGACATGCATGTAGGTACACCCACAAGGACATACTCGCCTACGTACACACACATTGCAACCACTCACGCACACACATTTATGTACATACGTTTAGACACGGTGCATCTTCGTGCATGTACATAATTATGTATGTCCTTGTATGTCCGTACACACATTTATTTGTACATACATACATATATATATATATATACACATGTGTCTTTTAACCGTACCTACACATGTGCATGTCTCTACGGCATTTGCCTGCGTATGGATGTATATATATATATATATACATATATGTGTATGTATGTATGTATGTATGTATGTATGTATGTATGTATGTATGTATGTATGTATGTATGTGTGTATATATATATATATGTATATATGTATATGCATATATATATATATATACATGTGTGTGTGTGTGTGTGTCATGTGTATATAAGTATGTGTGTATAGAACGTGCATATGGGTATGTGTATATATGTATATATGTATGCATGTCTATGTGTGTATGTACAGGTGTCCTGACATGCAGACATTATAATGCACACATGCGAAGACACAGACATGCTTCGTACTATCTGTTGTTATTCTGATTTCCGGCAGGCCTCCACTTGGGAATGCAACATGAGTTTGCAGAATGAGCATGGTCCCACTTGTACATGATAGTACTTATAATGCAACATATTAGTACCCGAGGAAGGACAAGTACAACAAGAAGATCAACAAGTACTACGTCGAGTACGAGGAAGAGGATGAGCAGGCAAAGTCCGACGAGGAGAAGGAACGGCACGAGGAAGGAGAAGAAGTCTTTCACCTGCAATTGAGATGATCTAATTTTTCGGGGGTGCTACTTTAGCTAGCTCGTACGGCGAGCATTTATAGATGCATGTGTTGCAATCCCTGCGACATGAGTCTTCTCTTCTCACTGAAAGCTTGCGTGCGTCAGCTCCCTACAAACCCTGCGCAGCACCTGAAGCCGAATCCCGCCGCTGCAGGTGGGCGAAGCCGTGAACCTCGATCGCCTGCGCAAAGCCGGCGATTTGAGTCAAGCTCTGCCGGCTATCCCAGAAACAAGCGACGACGAGGATGACGGGAAGAACAAGGGCAAAGGTGCCACGGAGCTGACTTCCGCCCAGCAGGACCCGAACCCAGGAGACATCAAAGCTGTTTCTTGCTGTCATGAGTTCAGCTTGAGGAGCATGCGACCTTTGGAAAGTTTGGGGATTCTCTGCTTACCAAAAGTGCGAAGCTTCAAGACTTGATAGCGTCGCTGGAGCACGAGATGAACGAGCGCAAGAATGTTCCAAAGGAGACCAAAGTTCGCTGCACAAAGCACAGAACTCAATCAGCTTATTGCGAATGACACTGACACAGAATCCACTGTGGTCTTCTAGAATCCATGAGGATAGCTAGGTTCACCTATATATACCTACTTGCCTCCGAGGGCTATCTCGGCTATGGAGAAGGCCGTCGAAGTACTCGAAAAGGAGTGCGAGAAAATCCAGATGGTCAAGGCCAACACCAGCAAACTTGAGAACAAGAGCATCCCCGAGCCCGAGGCAAAGAAGCTGCTCTGTATGCGTTTAACTCACACATGCACGCAGGCTTTACATAGCAGCCGTGTGAGCGCATATCCCGATGTGTCGTTTGCAAAGCGAGATAGTTCGGCTTTTGCTCCCGGCCTTGTTCACGTAGCTTCCGAAGTCCAAACAAGGATCTCCCGCCGCACCTGCAGCCCAGGTTGCTAGCCAAGATCGAAGAGCAGATGACGCAGACCAAAGTGGCGTGGGCATCCTACATGGTTGCATCTATAGTTAAAATGCACTGTCACCGTGATTTTGCATATAGACGATATATTTAGACTTGGTGGTGCCCTCTTTAAGTCTCCTCTTGTGGTGTAGGTGCTGCAAAGTGGTCACTGCCGAAAGCGCTGCAAAGACTTTTGGCTGTTCCATATGATTCTGAAACATCTGAATGATTGCGATGACCCTTCCTGAAACATACTGCTCCCCAGCCAAGGAACTGCCTGAAAACTCTGCGCAACTTCGAGGTGTGATGCTGGCAGCAAGGGCTGGCACCTTGGACACCAGATGCTCCGATAGTATTTGTGGATACTGCTTCAGCTTGCCTTTCTTCATAGCGAAGGAAGGTCTCGTGTACAAGTTTTAATTAGATAGTAGTTTCGGCTGGGGACAAGGGCAGCGGGTCTGCTGACGGGGCATGCGAATCCTGCTCTGCCTGCTGAAGAAAATTGCAGACTGGCCCTACGTTCGAGCATGCATGTGCAATGCAGCCCGCAAACATCATGAGTCACCAGTTTGTTCCGACATGCCAGATGAAACGGTGCCGGGCAAGCTGCTAGTGCAGCTGGCCAAAAGCATCGCCCGCGGTGTCGTGGCCTGAGTGGCTGCAGGCTGAATTGGACGGCATCTGTATGGACGTTACCATGCATGTGTGACAGCTGCTCCAGTGTAGGATTTCCTATACATGAATGAGTTGCTATGTTTGCTTATTTAGGACTCTAGGTAAAACAGCTACACGCAGATGTTCTCACAACACGTTGCACGTTACGTCCATGCAAGGTTCCTGCATGTTGAACTATAATGCCTGACCATGCAATGTAATTTGTATGTTGTCGGCAGGTTTCCTCGCAAGTCCGAGCATCTGACCCAATCGTGATCTAATCTAGTTCTATCTTCTCTTCCAATAGTATATATGTATGTATGTGTGTATATATATATATATATATTGTACATATATATGCACAAAACCATTGTAGGTATGGCTACCGATCTAGCAATCCATCCACCTACTGTGCATATCCATGTTCGTGCAATACAATCTAGACATCTGTACATATATATATATATATACATATATTCATATATACATTATATATATATATACATATACATATAGTATTCAACACATTATATAGACATCATAATATCGTGTTATAAACCATATAATACAAAAGACATACTAAGCAGTTATAATGTAATAGCTGAGCTCATTCTGTTTATGTTCTGCTGAGCATGTGTATAAGTGTCTACTACTTGCCTAGCTACCTAGCTGGCAGACCCCGTATACATGGATTCGCAAGAGTGTATACATGTGCATGCATGTGCTATACGTGTAGATGTGTGTGTGCATGTATGTATGCATGTATGTGTTTCATGTATATGCAGTGTGTGTATACATACATATATACAAATGCAACTTCGACTCCCAGGCGGAGATCCTTGTGGGGTTCCCCCAAAAACATGGCCTTTGCCTACTTCCGGACCCTGTACACGTTGCATATATATATATATATATATACATAATTAGGTACAACTATATAGTTGAACATTTCGATAGTTTGTATAGACAGCTCCAGTACACCCAATCAAACTTTTATATTAGTATCATATTCACCTGAGCCCTGGAATCGTGCGTGGCCATGGATGATCTGCTTGAGCTACTGACGTATCAATGCCCCATTACGAAGACGTGGCGCTGTGCCGTGTCGGATTCTGCTCTTGCAAAGCAGGGCTATAAGATGCTTGGTCGCGATGAATGTGTTGATGCGGGAGGTGTGATTTTTTGTTAATTAGTGGGATATCTACATCCGGACAAGGAGGCCGTTGTCACCAACATCCTCTCCGACCCCTGCACCGAAGCCTACCGCATTCGTTGGCCAGGACTGTTAACACGCTAGCCTATGATCTTCCTGTCCCGAGCCTCGGACTGCAGGACCCTGGAGCCAGTCGCCATATCCAAAGCCATCCTGCACCTGGGCAGAACTACTACAGAGACGTGTGTATAGTAGTTGGTACATATTCCTGTTTCCAACGCATGATACGTTTAAGGATGTGGTCCTTCTACAGGAGGCCGCTGATGTGTTCTGCGATGCGACAGAGGCTGTGTGGTCTGAGCTGCGAACACTAGGCATTCTATTCCGAGCGATGACTCCCAAGATTCCAAAACCCACTTGTGGCAAGATTTTAAGCCACGCAAGACAACAAGTGGATTCTTTTCGGGAGCACATGGGAATTTCGTTGTGTGTCTTTAAGATCGGTGTTACAAGGAACCCTCCTGCACGATTCGTTGATTATGTACAGAAAGGCTTTACCAGTATGTGGGTCATCTACATGGGCAACAATGTTGGGTTGCTTCATATGCTCGAGGCTTCATTGATTTCTCACTATGCAGAGTGCAGTGGCTGCCAGAACATGGTTGGAACAGGAGGTGAAGGTGCCCTCAACAAAGCCAATAACGGAGGACCACCATACTTTGCTTATGTTACAGGTGGCCGAGCAGATCAGCGCAGGCGTGTCGGGTAGTCGGGGGATGTGCACCGTAAACTGTTTAATTCCTATTCTACTTATGTGCTTCTCCGAAGTGATGTGCGAACCACATCCAAATTCGCTGCTTGGGGAGACTGAGAGCTAGCGTCGCCTGGCACTAGGGGAAAAACTCTTTCGTCTTCCTGTTCAAGCCCCGCCTGAGACATGCTGTTTGCCTGCAATCCCGGAAGCCACGCTGTCTATATAGATGTGCATATTTCTATGCTATGCATGGTCATGTGTGTGTGTGTGTATGTGTGCACGCCAAGGTCCCCTGTGCACATTGTGTGCAGGCTGCCCAAGCAGCAGTGGAAGACTGCCCAGACTCTGCCACCCCGGCATTGAGAAAGTTCGCACGTATACGAGAGAACGATGCGGAGACGGCAGCCCACCGCATCTTCCAAGAATGTGGATTAGCAGTCCCGCTCAGCATTGACTACGAAAACATCACTGGAGTTGGTGACGATGATGATGAATTACTTTCGTGGCCCGTGCTCAAGTTCAGCAAGTGGCTCTCGTACCTGCTGGATAGCGGGCGACTGTCAAGACAGCTGTGTGGGGTTCCCAATTTAGCTGCCATGCAGGTGCTACTTGAAGAGTTTTGGACCCGGTGGGAAGCCCTGTATCCAGGGCACGAAGTGTTCAAACTTGCCAGGGACAAGCGACTGGACTTGTCAATGACAATTCCTGTTTGGAGCCACTCGGACGAGGGCCGATCTCAGAAGCAGAAACCAATCCTGGTTTTGTCGGTCCATGGATGTGTTGGTCGGGGAACTCAAGCTTACCGCCAGGAGCTGGCAAGAGATCCAGGCAGACGTGCTGGGATGGGCCTCAATTTCATTGGGCCTACGTGGAGCAGTCAGTTCCTCTTTTCGGTTATGCAGCGCGAGGTTTATGCCAAACACCCAGAAAGGTTCGACGGTCTTGCCGGGTGCCTGGCAGACGACTTGAGAAAATGCTGGGAAGAAGGAGTCGCAAGCTCTGTGAACCCAGAGTTGCGGGTGTGGGCTGTGCACCTTGGAACCAAAGGCGATCTTCCCGCCTTGACGAAGATCGGGAAGTTCGAAGACCGAAGTTACTCTCGTGTACCGAAAACAGGGCAGAGCAAGACCCTGTGCAAGGGAATCTGCCACTTGTGTCATGCTGCGCAAGAGTCACACGATCCGCAGCAAAACATCTTGTTCGAGGACCTGGGCATGAATCCGAAGTGGGCGAGCACATTGCACCAGACGGTGCCGTGGCGATCGCAGCCGGGCATCCTGCGAGGTGCTTTGTTGTGCCGGCAGGAGCCGGCCGACTTCTTCAAGCTGGACCTTTGGCACAACTTCCACATGGGCACGGCCAAAGTGTGGCTGGCTTCGAGTTTCATGCTTCTCTGCAACCTGGACTTGATTGTGGGGAACACGATTATCGCGAAGTTCGAGGCCTTGACTTCCCAGTACCGGGCTTTTTGCCGAAGCAAGAGATTGTCAATGCACATTGTCCAGTTTTCGCGGGATACAATGGGTATCGACTCCGACAGAACTTTTCCTGTTGGCAAGTGGAACAAAGGTGCAGCATCTACCAATTTGATGTTGTTTCTGCAGTGCCTGTGTGAAACCCTGATCGTGGGCAAGCTGGCTGATCCACTACTTCTTGCAGTCGCCATTCGGCAGCCTTCTAAAACACATGTGCATGATTGTGCATGCATGTGCGCACACAGATACTGTATATACTCATGTGTGGTTTATTTATACATCTTATACTTAGCTTGTGTGATTATGTAAGTTCATCGATGTTGTTTTTTTCTGCCGTTTTAGTAGCTGGGGGTAGTGGGTATGTAGTTAGCTAGACTGTTAATTGTAGGTTTTCATGATGCTGAGGCCCGTGGCACCATTGCCATGAACCGCTTTTTGAGTGCCATCTATCGGGAGGGATTTTGGATCCCCTGTGAGAGAGCAAAGATCCAGGCTAGGCTGTTTTACACATTCTTGAAATCTTTCCAGTACGCGGCTGCCGAATGCAAGAAGCGAGACATGAACAGGTACGCGTATGTACCCAAGGTGCATATGCTGCACCATGCAGCCGCACGATTGCATCATGAAGCAAACAATTTTGAATGGGCACAAAACCCTTTGGGTACAAGCGTACAGATCCAAGAAGATTATATAGGACGGCCAGCGAGACTATCTCGCAGAGTCTCAATTCAATCCGTACACGTGCGGGTGATCCAGCGCTCTCTTATTTCGGCCTTAGATGCTCTAAGAGCCTCCGATGAGGATACCAGGTTCTAGATGCTGCTCATGCGGGCTACGTGATGTGTGGCTTGTGGATCTCTTAGCATATATATATATATATGTGCGTGTATATGTTGGGTTTCTAATGAGACAACCCTTATTCAGCCCGGCACATCTCAGCCTTGTCGAACTCCGCGGGGGAATCGCGATCGACGTGGCAGCGGAAACCGAGCGAGTGAGGAGGGCTTCTGGGGCATATTCGTGGGAAATAGCTCGGGTCTGGCTGGCTTGAAGTTTATCTTGTCAGATTGTATCGAGATCCCTCACAAATTCCCAAAACCTGAAAACCCCCAAAACCCAAAAGTAACGCTTTTCAAGCAAAGGTGCGTTAAATATGAAAAGGGGCGTGAACCAAGACAAAACCCAGGACTTCCCTAAAACGGTAGGCCAGTCAGGGCTAAGGTAAACCCTAAACCCTGAACTTAAGATTAAGATCTCCGGTTCCGGATCCAAGATTCTAGAAATGGGATTGAAATCCCGCAGGAGAAGCCAAACACATGCGATGAAAAAAAAGCGACTCCCCCAAGGCTATGTAAAACAAACAAAGCAAAAACATTGTAAACGACAAAGCTACAAAAAGGCAACAACAATGTAACGAAACATGCGACAAGAATGCAATCCAAGCGGATAATCACCCAAACATATTGTAAAAGGCAAAATAAATGCAAATCAAAAAGAAATCACAAAGGAATCAAACCCAATCTATGCTTGGTTGCTTGTTGTTTGGTTGTTATGTGTGTTTTTGGTCAATATAAGCAGTGATGATTGTGGGCTCCTGTTGTATTGCTTGTTATTTGTTGTTTTGGTCGCTTAGTTTTTGCTGTTTGGCTTGTTTTTTTTGTTTCTTCTTGTTTCAAGCGGCCAAGCGACAGGGACACCCGGATCGGTTTTTGATTGCACGGTCTGCGCTGCGTTTCTGCTTTTCGCTATTCTTGGATCTTCCGGAACCCGAAGATCTTAACCCTAAATCCCATGCTACCCTAAACCCTAAACCCTAAACCCTAAACCCTAAACCCTAAACCCTAAACCCTAAACCCTAAACCGTCTGCCCCTTTTTGTTCAATGCAAACTCGCAAACCGGAGCACTGCCCAACTCTCCCACACAAAGCTCTAATATGGGGGCCTCCATTTCTAGAACAGGATTAGTTGTAGCAAGAGCCCTACGGAATACTGTTGCTAAGCGCTCACACATTTGGGTAGTTCTCTAGATTCCTCTCAGGTCCCCCAAATAGTACGGCACCCTTGTTAAAAGGGCCCTAGAAGGGACCCTAATTTAGAGAACTACCCATTTGCAGAAAGCAAGGTGATAAAACCTAAAACCCTAAACCCTAAACCCTAAAACCCTAAAACCCTAAACCCTAAACCCTAAACCCTAAAACCCCAAACCCTAAACCCTAAACCCTAAACCCTAAACCCCCTTTTTCTTACAGCGAAGCGGATCCTGCCGGCTGGTGCCACCCTTCCTCGCGGCCACAAGCCAGGAAGGATCGTCCTTCTTCGTCTTACAGGTCGCCATGAGGCCACTGAAAGAGGCCGAGCCCTAAACCCTAAGCCCTAAACCCTAAGCCCTAAACCCTAAACCCTAAACCCTAAACCCTAGGTTCAGGGGTTAGGGTTCAGGGACGATTCTTTGCTGATTAGAACAGAACTCGGGGGTAGTGTTTCTAAAACAACAGAAAGGGAGGCTGCTGCTTCTCCAGCTGTGTACCCCTAAACCCTAAACCCGAAGGCTCTAAGGTGCTTTCAAACGATTCTGGCTTGCTTGGGCTGCATGCAGCTGCCAGGGACACGGAAGATGCAGGCAGCAGCAGAGAGGGCTAGACTTTCGGCTTTCGACGAGTCGTGGAGCAAAGAGGGGTGATATGGGGACTTGAATAACAAGCAATACTATCCCCCTGTAGAAAAATAAGGAACACTATAGGGTTGGAATAGTTACTACTCATATCCCGTATAGTCCCTACGCTGTGATACGATAACTTGCCCAACCCTAAACCCTTAACTCTAAACCCTAAACGCTAAACTTTAAACCCTAAACCTAAATCAAAGAGCCCGCATAGAAACCTTGCAGCACCGAATCCTGCCCAATCATTAGGGTCCCTACATAACTAAATGCTAAACACTCGCGGATAGTGTTCCTTATCATGGTTTCGAAATATATATCCTTAACAGGGTAGGTCCTGTGGGCCACAGGTAAGGTGTAGGGTTTCGGGTGCAGGGTTTAAGCTTCAACTGCGGTAGTCCTGTGGCTTCCAGGGGCCTAAGAGGGTCCTCACATTCCGAAGCGCATAGAGCCGGAGCCCCGGAAGGCTTGGGGCCTAGGGTTTAGGGCGTTTAGGGTTTTAGGGTTTAGGGTTTAGGGTTTTAGGATCTGGGGTCCCCAAGACCCTGAAGCCAACTTTAGATCTAGATACAAATATCAGCATTTGTAAACAAATATCTACACATACACAAAAATAATGTACAAATATATGGTACCTTATACCCAAGAGCGCACAATACAGCAAAGGTAGGTCCCGGAGGGGTGGGGGGGGGGGGTACCACATACATACATACATACATACATACATACATACATACATACATACATACATGCATATTTACATGCATATTTGCATACATACATACATGAATACATACATACATACATACATACATACATGCATGCATACATACATACATACATACATACATACATACATACATACATACATACATGTGTCTGTGTATGTGTATATATATGTGTACATATATATATATATATATATATGTACATATATATATATATGTACATATATATATATATAAATTAACACATAACGGTTCTCTCTACATAGATCACAAGAAGCCACGGCTTGAAACTACTCCTCATAGTAAATGAAACCTGAATTATTTGAAGGACCCTACACTAAGGGAATTATGGTTTATTCCTAACCACCCCTAAACCCCAAAACCCCAGACCCTAAACCCTAAACCGCAGGATTTACATCATAGTTTTGGGACCTTCATCCTAAATCCTAAACCCTAAACCCTAAACCCTAAACCCTATAAATCCTAAACCCTTAACCCTTAACCCAACCCATGAACGTTAAATTTGTGGGAGATGGAAGTCTCTGGGCGCCCACCAAACCTCGCTCCCCCACTCAAGGGCCGGGGGTTTAGGGTCGGTTGAGGAGTTTAGGGGTTTGAGGGGTTTAGGGTTTAGGGTTTAGGGTTTAGGGTTTAGGGTTTAGGGTTTGGGGTTTAGGGTTTAGGGTTTGGGGTTTAGGGTCGGTTGAGAGTTTTAGGGGTTTAGGGGTTTGAGGGGTTGAGGAGTTTAGGGGTTTAAGGGTTGAGGGGTTTAGGGGTTTAGGGGTTTAGGGGTTTAGGGTTGGTTGAGGAGTTTAGGGGTTCGAGGGGTTTAGGGTTTAAGGGTTTACGGGTTTAGGGGTTTAGGGATGTAGGGGTTTAGGGGTTTAGGGGTGTAGGGTTTGAACCCACTCCAGGCAATGTCTTTTCACTTGCGCACCATATCTTCTTGGGAGGAAAAAGGAGACGTAATCGTCAGCGACGCGATTCCTGTTGCTACACCTCAGACACCGTAGAGCTTAGTTCACCAATGCGATTTTGAACCCTGAACCCCGCAAGTCCTGACCCTTAAAACCCTACACAACCGTCTGCAAGCCCTAAACCCTAAACCCAAAACCCCTAAACCGTAAACCCTCAAGGCCTAAACTCCTAAACCTTAAATCGTCGGGACCTAAGCCTGAACCCGAAGTCTGTCTGAACAATAAAGGAGTCTCAATATCAGAATAGATGCTTAAGGCATACATATTACACACCTTTCCCATGACAGGTAGCCCTAAGGAGTTTTATTCTGGAGTACTCTTATGAAAATTATCTAGGACCCGCCGATAGCATATGAAACCCAAACACCCCCCATAAATCTTAAACCTCAAAGCCTTAAGCCCTATACCCCAAACCTAAATCGTAGGTTTTCTGGGTCGGTCAGTCAAGCACACCGAAGCTGTTTGGCGCCGTCTCCTTCAACCGCCTTGGTGCAAAGGTTTCTCGGCTCCAGAGTTGTTGGGTTTAGGGTTTAGGGTTTAGGGTTTAGGGTTCAAGATTTAGGGTTTAGGGTTCAGGATTTCGGGGTGTAGCTGTCTAGGGGTTTAGGAGCTTGAGGGTCAGGGCTTTAGGGTTAAGGGTTTAGGGTTTAGGGCTGTCTAGGGGTTTAGGAGCTTGAGGGTTAGGGCTTTAGGGTTTAGGGTTTAGGGCTGTCTAGGGGTTGAGGAACTTGAGGGTTAGGGCTTTAGGGTTTAGGGTTTAGGGCTGTCTAGGGGTTTAGGAGCTTGAGGGTAAGGGCTGTAGGGTTTGGGGTTTCGGCG